AATGTTTAAACTGCCAGCCAACAGTATCTCAATTTCTAAACACACAAGAGACTTGTTAGGTGGGCTGACAGGAAAGATATTGTGGCAGTGATTTACCATCATGAAAAGACAAAACAAATAATAAGAACATTTTTGAGTTATAATTGTATTTCTTTGTATGCTCTATGGACGTGGTGGCGAACCTATGGCACGCGTGCCACAGGTGGCACGCAGAGCCCTCTCTGTGGGCAAGCACGCTGTCACCCCAGTCCTAGGCCTTCAGCTGGGTTTTATAAAACCTTTTCACTTTAGGCCTCAGCCGTGTGCAAAAAAAAAAAGGTTCAATCAATCAAGCAATCAATTTCAACTTCTCGTGGGAAAAAAAAGATCTCGCAAAGTTGGAATTGATTGATTGAACTTTTTAATTCCCACCCAGTCTGCTGTTTCCACCTCAGCCATGCCCACCCAATGGGCCATGCCCACCCGGCATCCGACGATACCTAAGTGGGTTTTGGGTTGCAGTTTGGGCACTCGGTCTCTAAAAGGTTCGCCATCACTGCTCTATGGATACCTTAGGAAAAAAACAATTGTATCTCAAATGTTCTTTGTTGTATTATGGCTTTTGTTCAGATTGAAAATTACTTGAAGCTTCTGTTTCATTATGCTATCATACTAGAGTTTTGTTTTACATGGCTGTTTGTTACTGACTCCGATTCAGAACTGAACAAAATGCTTTTTGTAATACTATAACATGTTTGCGAATATGTCTCATTTAGCTGTCACTTCCTGAAATAATAAAACTGAGAAGAGTGCCACTAAGGCTGCAGTGCATTTGCATAGAAATAAACTGAGAAATGTATTAAACTTCTTTGCAGAACAGATATAATGCAGCCACAACTGTGTACTTGTGCAGTGATATATTGCAACAGGATGTAAAACCTATTGGCTTTAGTTGGGATTTAGTCCAAGTCACATGAGTGCAGAAGCATAACTTTTGATATGCACTCCTACCCTTGCTAAAATACTGTAAAGTAAGAGTATATAATGTTGGGACTATAAAGCCCAGCTTTTCTGCATTTCAACATATATGCTTTTGTTTTAAACTCTCTCTGTAGTTAAAACTAGAACATGATCCTTTCGGCTTAAGTTAAAAAAAAATAGCACAAGTCTTTGAACCTTTGTTACTATGACATTTAAATTTTGAAGCCAATAAGTATTCTGAATAAGTAGAACCTGTTGTATTACTAAACTTTAATCTTAACATATTTCAAAACAAGCAAGTAAATAATATTAAGATAACATTGCCTCACGTAACAGGTAGTTCTCCACTTATGACCACAATACAGAGTCAAATTCTGTTGCTAATCAAGGCAGTTGTCAAGTGAGTTGTGCCTCATTTTACAACTTTTTTTGCCAGAGTTGTTAAATGAATCACCATAGTTCTTAAGTGAATCATGTGCTCATTAAATGAATCTGTTTTCCTATTGACTTTGCTTGTTGGAAGCTGGTTGGGAAGGTTACAAATGGTGATCACATGACTCCGGGATGATGCAACTGTCATAAATACATGCCAGTTGCCAAGCACCCAAGCAATGATTATGTGACCATAGGGATGCTGCAATGTTTTTTTTCCAATACTGTTGTAACTTCGAGCGGTCACTAAATGAATTCTAAATATCAATAAATCTAGTGGTTATAGTTTATTCAGTGTGTACAACAATTCTATTTTTGTAATTGTACAAATGATAAGTTGGTAAGGTCAAATCACTATAAAAATCTTGGAGATAATCCTCTTTTTCTCATTACTGAATATTAGTTACATTTTAAGGTGTAACATGTAGGCAATAGATGAAAAATAATCTTCATTCCTATTTAAATTGCAGTTTAGGATGTTCTTTATAAGAAATATTACTTAGTTTATTAGCTCTTATCTGCAAATTACTACATTTTCATTATGCGGTAATATAAAAATGAAAATGTTTCTTTTAATGCTTATAGAGAATACTATCAGTATATAATACAGTGACACTAATATAAATGGATTATACAAGATTTCCAAATATTCACATCTACAGTAACATCTGGAGTTAAACTTGATCCCTAGTAATTATATGGCAATGTTTTTCAACCTTGGAAACTTTTTAAGATGTGTGGACTTCAGTTCCCAGAATTCTCTACCCAGCAAGTCTACAGACTTAACATTGTTACATAGCAGGTCCGTGTTCTTAGTTAACCATGTTCAGTCCTCAACTTAGAACCATTCATTGAGTGACCATTCAAAGATACAAAAGCACTGAAAAAAGTAACTCAGACCACTTTTCACACTTACAACTGTTGCAGCATCCTCATGGTTGTGCGATCAAAATTCAGATACTTGGCAACTGGCATGTATTTATAGTGGCTGCAATCTCCTGGGCTCATGGATCACCCTTTGCAACCTTCTGACAAGCCAAGTCAATGGGGAAGCCAGATTTACTTAACTGTGTTACTAACATAACAACTGCTACGATTCGCTTCAGAACTGTGACAACAAAGGTTATAAAATGGGGTGATTGTCTTGCTCAGCAACGGAAATTTTGGGTTCAATTGTGGTCAATTGAGGACTGTCTGTAAAGCATTTTGTCTTTGTTTTATTCTGATAAGTTTCCCTCCCTCCCAAGTTATTACAATGGTTGAGCCTACAACCCTGATATTCCCTAATGAACTCCCATTCAAGTATTGACTAAATTCAACTTTACTTAGTAACAATTTTAATCTTAAAAAAACTTTGAAATCTATGTATAATACTAGGCAAAATTAACCAAACACCATAACAAATTCCTTGAAACTAAAATAAACTACCAAGAAATTTCTTATTTAGCAATAGAGGCTGGATTGGAAGTACCGTAGTTTTTTATTCAGTATATAGAATTTTTAAGAGGAATCCCTGGAGCATAGTCTAAAGCTATAAAGAGATTATCACATTGTTATAGCTTTATTGGATGACCACTATATTTAAAAAGATATTCCCCTACATATCTATACTTGCAAAGAATCTAACTAAACCGATTTGCAGAAAGTAAAGTCTTAATGGATGACTGCTCTTTGAGGTGTGGCAGATTTTAGCTGACCCAGTTTGGTATCCTTGTGTTCCTTGGGAACTTGGAATTGCTTTTATTTGCTTTAATTCCAAGCAAGCATTTTTTTTAAAGTTTCCCCAGTCTTTTGACATATTTTACCTATGTATGTCACTTTTATTCTATCTTGTAGGGGTTTCTTTTCCTCTGCAAGTTAATTTTTCCTCCTTTTTAGAATAGTAACATTTAATGCTGTTTTAACTTTCTTCCCTTATAATTTGTATTCATTATAAGACTTTCTGAGTTATTTTATCTTCGTATCTTATTTAAGGACACAACTCTCATATGAAATATTTTGTTGTTCAGTTAATCAATTATTTAATAATTTAGTTCATATCTCGAAGCCTAGGATATAATTTTCACAAGCTACATTTTTATAAATATAACACAGATAAATGAGAATAGAAAAACTAGTTAGCCTCAGTAAGCAGCAAGCATTGGAGAACTGAGCAGGCCTGTAAACAATATTTTCAGTTTTCTGAAAAATCTGTAATATTGAACAGGTTTATAGGACATGCCAAGTAGTGAATGATTAACAAGATCACCATTTTAAGTCTGCCCAACTGCCTTAATTTTACTACGGTATTGTGGGTTTACATAAGCTTTGTATATTACACAAACCAATAACAGCAACCATTATCAGCACCAATCAAAATTTGAAATCTTGCTTTACAATATAAACCTAGTTATATTGTGTAAATCATGTCAAAAAGTTTTAGCGAGTGACTTACAAGTTCAGGTAGTCCTCGACTTACAACAGTTCATTTAGTGACCATTCAAAGGGCACTGAAAAAAGTGACATATGACCATTTTTCTTACTTACAATTGTTGCAGCATCCCCATAGCAGGAAAAGTTGTAAAATGGGGCAAAATTCATTTAACAAATGTTTCACTTAGCAACATAAATTTTAGGTTCAATTGTAGTCGTAAGTCAAGGACTACCTGTATAAAAAAGTCATGTATTTTTTATTCTTATGCCAGCTCTCCCTTCTTTTCACCTACAATTAAAATCGCCTAACTTCCTCCATCAGAGAAGAATCTTGCTAGTCCAGTTAGTGGACAGAGTAAGGAACTACTCCATTTGCATTTCTTTGAAGAGTCTTCACCTACTGGTTACAAGACACACCTGATAGGGAAGGAGTACTTCAAGGAGCCTTGCAGTAGTAGAACTCCAATTTTCATATGCCCATATGCTTAAGTAAATTAAAGATACACAATGAGGCACAAACCCAAAACTATAGCGAACTCCTACAAGTTGATGATAATGCCAAAAGATCTCGGGGTTCACAAACAATCCAGTGCTCCTCAGGTGTGGCAGACCACAACTTCCCTAATTCCCAGCCAGGCAGACCTTTGATCCCAGACTGGAAATCACACACACGCTATCTGAAGGGGACCAGTTTCAGGAAAGCTGTTGCACTTCTTCTCTCCCTTTATTAACCCACTGGGACGTATTTCCCCCCCTACATTCATCTCCTTTTTTTTCACCTCCCTTCTTGTTCCCTAGGAACATTCTTCCTCGCGAGGAGAGCCACCCGCAACAATTCCGCGGGATTGCTAACTCATCCCACAAATTCCCCTCGCCGCTTCCTCCTCCAGGTCGGTTGCCCAAACCTGAACTTAAGCTCTTGAGGTGATCACATGGGACGGCAGAGAAGGCGGGCAGAGCGAGGAAGGTTCCACGGCTGCTTCTTCCCATTGGCTCCGCGCAGGCACGTGGCGCTCCTCTCCCACCGCTGGCTCACAGCTGGGTAGCCCGGGTCTGCTGGCAGGGAAAGAGCAGTAAGAGCCGCTCCAGCTAAGTGCCTTAAAGGAGCGTGGAGGAGGAGGAGGAGGAGGAAGAGGAGGAAGGCGGCAAAGAGTTGTTGTTGTTTTTTCCCCCTTTGGGCTCGTGGATCTGATTTATTTATTACTGTTGTTTTGCCCGGAGCTTCGTGCCTGAACCCTTCGCGTGCAGGTCGTCGTTTTGCTGGAGCGGGGCGGCAGGAAGGTAGGTAGGTCTCGCTGAAGGTAGTTGCGACGTAGGGTAGTTTCTCTTTTTTCCAGAGCGCCGGGATTCGGCAACCTCTTCTTCCCTTGCTCGTGGAGCCTTTCGGCTCTTTTCCCGCGCAACTCGCTCCGAAGTTGGGGGCTGATTCAGAAGAAGTAGGCTAGGCTAGCCCAGGAGGCGAACTGCGAGAAGAGGTGGGTGAGACGTGCCCGCGCTTCTTCGGCCGCTTCTCCGTTCATTTCACAGATAACAGCCAAGCTCTCTCCCGGGCTGGTTCTCTTTTGGGAATGGAGAGCGCGGGTTTTTGGTAGACCGATCGCGGGCTGTCGACGCGCGGAGAAGGGAGTGTCTTTGCGTCTGAAGCTGGCGCGAAAGCTCGCCCCGTCCAGCCCGCCCGGTTTGCTGAAAGAGCTCCGGGATGGCGCGATAAATATTTGGGCAAGGCTCCTGAGAAGGAGAGAGCTGAACGGGATACTCTGGAGGAGGGAGAGATTTAATCGTTTTTTCCGGGTTTTCTTATTGTGTTGGTGCATAGGGTATATAAGCTGTGCTGCATCGGAATCTCAATACATTTGCCTTAGGGGAGAAAAAAAAGTTCATTGGGCTGGCCACATTGATTAAACCGCTTTCAAGTGGCCGGAGAGATGTTCCGTTCCGTACTGCGTAAATGTGAGTTGTATGGCGATGGAGGGGAAGGTAAAACTCCAGAACTGAAGCTGAATCGCCTCCATTTTCCAAGCGCTCGGGGCAAACTCAGCGAGGCTGCCTTTAGAGAAAGACTAAACACAGCAAGCGGCTTCATCTCCGGATTGGAAAACGGGGCAGCTCACGCCCCAAACGCGCCTCTTGGCACTTCGCCTCTTTGCCTTCCCTTCCGACTTCTTCATTTATGCAGAGCGCTGCTGAATTTAGCAGTTTGGCCACGCGAGCTTCAATTCAATTTAATGGGAGAAGTTGCATTTCCTTCTGTCTTGTCCGCATTGTTTCTGCCTTTTGTCCGCTTTCGTCCTTCTCCAAAAATCTATTAGTCAGTTTGCCTGATGCTGAACTTGTGGGGTTTAAAAGCCTGTTTAGTGGGAAATGGTCCAGACATTCTTATGCAGTCCAGAAATGGATGCTCCTTGCACCCACTCGCCCCTCTAGTGGCTAGATTTTTTATTATTGTAATCCTTTATGCTAAGCCGGGGATCAAAATACACAACTTGATATAAGCCGTAGAATTTGTTTTGAGGTAATAATGAGGATAGGGCAGATGTCCATCAGTAATTCTAGTACTCAAGTTTATTGGAAGTCTATGCTTCAACTCTTCTAATGACTGCAGCCCTAATTAGTGCTAGAAGATATATCCTAATGTCCATTTATAAATGCCCATTTTCGTTTATATCAGTCATGGCACGGTTAACAGTCAAGAAGATTAGTTTGGCCGTGGATTGCACTTCAATATTTTTTAAAAGGTTTTAAAACAAAAGCATATATGTTGAAATGCAGAAAAGCTCTGGTGGTTTTCATATCAAAGCAGAATTTATCATCATGAATCTCTCTCTCTTACTAAAGTGTTCTCTTTTTTACAATTTATTTTAATTCCCTCAGTAGCAGGTTGCTATTATAATTTTATAATATTTTGTTCAAATAAATATTTCTTAAATTTTTTTCCAAGTATTCTAGTTGAAGAGGCAAAAATTATCCTGGGAACATTTCCTGACATATAGTTCCTCTGCTTCAATATGAAGATTAGACCTCCCTAAAATAATGTGAGACATTAATATATAAGTCTGTATTTCTTATCAAAGCCTAGTCAGTCAATTTCTTTTAATAATATTAAATACATATTTTAGATAGAACTTTGGAACACTTAAGATCTACTGAAATACAAGAGTTACACTGCACATCTTGAAGTTTACAGTAAAGATCATACCCAATGATTTTGGTCCATCAGTAGAAGGATAACAGATTAAAGACTTGCAATTTTTTATGATTTTCTTGTCTGATAAACTTCCAGATCTATTGCCTGTGGAGTTTTGAAAATAATTTCAATAGTTGATTGCCATTTGATATAATTATTAATTACGATCATTTTGTCCTATTTTTCTGTATATTGTTTTGCATTGCTTAGGCAAATCAGTTTCCATCCTTATAGATTCTATTTTATATTTCTTAAGCCAGCATCTTAGCTGTGAAACCATTTTTAAAATACTGTTATTTTTATATTTTATCAGTTTCTTAGGGGAAAAAAACCAAGCACACATTTTAAGAAGGTAGAGGTTGCCTCTGAAAGATCAAAAAAGTTCCAGTTAAAGTACAGGAAAAGGCCTCTTTTCAATGGACTCAATTGTTAACACAATTGGAATTTAGCCTAAACTGTGCAAACCTTTTGCAGGAAAACTTTGTATTTTCCTATTCTCGGGCTATGTTTATTTTAATACAAAAGAGAACCAATCATTGGTTGAAAGCTTATGGCCTGTATTTCTACGTCAATATTATTTAGTAATTTTAACATCCATGAAGAAGCTATGAATAATCTCATGATGTGAACTTTGTGAGTTGCATCCAGTTAGTATTACATCAGTAAATGGTATGGACAATTTACATTTCCTCATGCTACCCAAAGGCTGCTGGGGAATCATCCAGAGCACATCTGGGAAATAAAGGAAGGGAAAAGTCCTGATGCATGGGCAGACATCTGTTCATATGGTTGGATTTTAGTCTGTGCTTGGTACTTCAGATAACATAGTTTGAGTGTTGGAATGTGACTTATTGATTTTTCATGTGATCGAAAAACATTTGAATGTTTAAAATATAAGTGAATAAGATATAGGTTGACATTTTTAATGTGATTTGAATAATGGTGCATTTTCCTTGATCAGTCATATATTCTGAACCTTTGGGAATGCTGTGAGTTTATTCTAGGTAATGGCTGTTTAAGCACAAAAGTTGTATTAGTCTTTCTGTTGTGTTTTGTTTATTTTTATCCTCCATTTAAACCAGAGATGTCAAACTGCCGGTCCGCAGGCTAGTTTCATCATACTGAAGCCGTGCCCACCCCATTGCTGGCAATGCAAAAAAAAAAGTCACGATACGTCGCAACACGTCATGTGACGTGGCGAGTTTGACACCTGTGATTTAAACCAATCCTAAGATAGTTGGAAATGTTTTGTTGTTGCTTTTATAGAGTATTTAAAAAAACAACAACAAACTTTCATTTACTTGCATTTTAGTTAATCTGCCTTCTGAAACTAGCCACTTGGCAGTATTCTTATAGTTTAGCATTATAAGTATGCCATGTTCCAAATTCAGTTCCAAAAATATATTTTGGAATGTATGATAATGTGAAGCTAACACCTGTCATAACTCTTTTTTAAATAACTACATACAAGTCTGAAGCAATGCATAGGCCTGTGAAGTCCCATGAGCTGAGCTAACCAAATCAGCACTATAAAATAGTCTGCCAAATTATAGGTAGCACTAGGAGGCAGAGGTATTTGTTACAGCCAATTGATAAGCAAAGAATAACATGAGAACTTTTTTATTATATATTGGCATGTTTCTCCTTTGTAGGTAGAAAGTCCTAGAGTTCTTCTATACAACTCTAATTTGTGCATTTCAAGGGCAGGAGCTATTAGACAGCAATAGCTTCCTCCAGTTTTTTGTGGTTCCTGGGATGTATTAAGAATAGGTTCTCTCTCCCTCTCTCCTCTCAATCTCCCTCTCTCCGTGTGTGTGTGTGTGTGTGTGTGTGTGTGTGTGTGTGTGTGTGTGTGTGTGAAATATAAGTGTTAGATTTGGGAACTGTTTTGCTGCTTGGAAACAATTATTTGTATGGCATAGTCTTGTAATGCTTTATGTGTAAATACGTCTCAAAGCAGTTTACTATATATCAGCCACAACTGTAAAAAGAAATTCTTTGCCCCTGGAATTTTATGTTGCCAATTAGTCTGGATTAATATGTTGTACAAACTCAGCCAGAAACCTTATATCAAGTTGTACATTTCAATAGCTTTTTTTCTGCTTTTGACTAGAGAAACTATTTTAATTTATATAACATTTGAAATAAGCTGGTATCTTGACAGACTTCATTAATCCCACTTAATATCTCCTGAATTTTATCTAATTTAATTTAATTCAGATATTATTGATAGTAGGTTTTATGCTTCTAGTAAATCTGCAAAGCCATGCAATTTGATCAGAAAAAGAAAAAAAGTATTTTTGGCTATAAAGCAGTCACCAGTTAAACAGGACAAAATCAGAATAATTTGCTATGTTATGATGTCATAAGCTCCAACATGATTTATACTGCAGCAGGATGAACAGATGATTTCCTGTCCTCAAAAGATTGCAAGGAATGTTAATTACTTTTAATTTCCTTGGTTTATAAAATCTCATGGTATGCAGTCACTGTCTCAATACTCCCATCATGCAGCTGAGCCAAAAAGAAAGAATGATTTGTACAGTTTTTAATATGACACTGGCAAATAACTAATTTTTAAATGAAGTCATGTTCTTGATTTTTGCAAGAGCCAAATTCTTAGTCTTCATTTTAATCTTTTTGAAAATCTCTTACAGTATGGAAAGCCTTCATTATGAGTTATAGGAAAAAAAGCTTATTGAATGGTCCAATATCTTAGACAGCTAGTAGTGTGGAGTCTCGCTTTATTCACATCATATGATTGGTTATTTTTTAACTATTTAAATAAAAATATTTTATTTTTATATGGGATTTTTGAGGTAATGCATGGTCATAATGTATGGATAACTTTCAATTAGGCTTTAAACTGTATGGTGGTATTTTTTCAGTATGAAAGCCATTAATATTTTTAACCTCTCTTTTACCAATATTGCCTAATTCAGTACAATAAAACTTCTAGTTTGGAAGCATGAAGTTGTTAAGTTTGTATTTCTCTTACACCTCTGAAAACTTAACTGTAGCCAATTATTCTTTCTTACTGTTCTGCAGGAGCTCCCATAGGAATTGTACAAAGATCTAGGCAGAATATCCATGAATT